CCCCACCCACACCCTTACCTCCCCCTGCCTCTTCCCCCACAACAGTCATATCAACCAGATGCTGTGCTCCAAGCTGCCTGGCTGCATATCAGCAATCCAATCGGTATCAGCCAATACGACTCGTTAAAAATCAGCTATCAGTATCGGCCCAAAAAGCTCTATCAGTGCACCCCTAAAAAATACCTCCCCCAAAGTATTCAGATTTATTGGCTGCCAAGTGCTTTGAGAGTTTTCGGTGAAAAGGTACACAGAATTATTACAAGATTACACTGACATCTTGGGGGGGGCAGTTATTTATATATAATTTCCTAGAGTGCAACTGTTACAGTTCAGTTTGATGTTGGGTTCTTAAATAGACATGGCAATGGCTTTCGTGTCAATAGTTTCTTAAAAATTGGGAATCTTTATAAGGAAAGTTCATTTGAATAAAGTACTCGGAAGCCTTATTGACATTATTCCATATTTTCTTCAGAAATTCAAGGGCTCTGTCTAGACCAGCCTCTTCATTGCTACTGCTTACAAATGTTTAAATATTTAATATTCACATAAACAACTATTTGTGTTTCTATCATTTCCTATTAGCTATTTATCATGACAAACCAGCAGAATCTCTCTGACTTCTGCAAGACCCTTCTGGTAGATCTTAAATTATTCACTCCGAATGTTCAAGCCTCATGGGAAGAAGAAATCTCTGTAAATGCTCTGTGTAGCATTTAATAAAAAATGTAGGGTTTGTTTCACAATAGAGCCACTTTTTTGGTAAAATAAGATGGAGATTTTAAGTAAGATTTATCTCCTTTATTCCAAAAATAAATATCTTTTTTTGATTCAGAGTATTTCAAATGACATTAAGCACAAAGAAGAAAAGTACTTCTTTGGAAGTTGTGAAATAGACATACAAGAACTTGGGGGAACAACATTACAGATAACAGTGATAACAGATGAAAGCTGATTTATACAAATTTAAAGCACAACAGCATTTTCTTTTACAATATAGAACTTCAAACAGATTTAAGAAAAACACCATTTTAAAAGTCTGAAAGGCACATGAATTAGACCATAAAACGTACTGGCACATTCACTAATACGCTTTATGTTACATTCCTAAAGAGAAACTGTAGGACTCTAATCAAGAAAAAGACTTAAGATGACAGCAGGTTCCTTTGTAAAATATTAAAAAAGTAGGAGATTGGAAGAAGGTTTTTTGGCTTTTTATGAAGGATGAGTATCAATACCCAAAGTTAGAGAGTTTTAAAAGCTGCATCATTCAGTTGTATTTGGGCGAGTTGCCACATAAACAAACACCACAATTAGAAGCACCACAACAGCCAGTGTGGGAAGCACGACAGTGGTGATTTGCTGTCGGGCTTCTTGCATTGCCTGCTTTCTCTCCTTTTTATCTTTCGAGGTTTCCTTTTTGGGTTTTCCTTTTAGTTGCCTCATTCTTCTTCTGCAGTCTTCTGTTCACCAAAAAATGAGTTGCCAGAGACAAGCCAGGGAAGGTCTCTGGAGAGGCGTGGAAAGGCCCTCCTGCTTCAGATGTCTGCTCCTGCAAAGACCTGTAAGAGGAGAAAACCAACCAAACCTTTCAGACACGATGATACGCACATACTCTACACATACACTTTGATACAGCTCATTTAAAGCACAGCAAGATTTATTCAACTATGTTCAATGAAGCCCTGTCTCAGAACACACTTTCACTTCATTAACAATGCTCTCCATGTGAAAAAGCACGGCAGTTCATCACGATGCATACACTTGTCCAAGATCGTTGAACCTGTGCTGCGTTCTGCCAGATACAAGGCAGGGTTCCATATACTCCAGGCATCAAAGGAAACAAGATAACAGAGCTAAAGACTTAATGAAAAAGTAAGAGTTAGTTTAATGAAAAGAGTAAGAAATAGTGTTGTGTCAATATATAGCACCAGCTGCCTCTTTTTGTAACAGCAGGCATTCCCAACCAGAGGTCTATAGCTTCCCACGATTTGTAAGGCAGATGGCCCAGAGAGTAAGCACACACTTTTTCATATTCTAAGACAAATCTTTATCTTCACCACAAGACATTTATTGGAATGCAGGGTCCCTTCATAGAAAAAAAAAGAATGGGAAAGATCTGATTAAAGTATGAGTCTATTCCTCTGGCAGTGAGAAAAATACTAAAACTTGCAATGAAACAATAGCATGTCTGTTATGTTATTAAATTGGGCATTTTCAGCAGGAAGAAATCATCTCATGTGATAATCCTTGAAGCAAAGCAGACTTCTACACAAGAGGTCATTGAGAGCTGCTGCGAAGCTTCTACTAGACCAGTTTTTAAGCTACGGTACCTGTAAGGTGAAGTTAACAAAAACACTGCACAAAATGCAAGTCTGTGATAACAAGTTGCTCTGCACTTGCGTCCCTAAGAGTGCAAAGCTGCTTTGGGTGTGTACAGATGTATGACAGATATACCCAATTTACATATCAGTCCCCAATTAGTACATATTTTCATATGATTATGGCATGCTAACCCAAGACAGTAAGTGAATCAGCATCCTGCCATCTTGGAATCTGCCCAAAGATTTGCTAACTCCATGGAACGTGTCAGTTAAGCCCCCCTCTGGCTGGCCTTCAACAAGGGTACAAAAAGATACTGAACTGTGCTTGCTGCAAGGTTCTCGCTGGATAGCAAGCCAGAGCAAAGCATGCATCACAGTACATCCATCTCTCTACTGAACCATCATATTCAGAATCCAACATCTTTTACTATTAGATCTGAATACAAAGAAAGTAAAATAAGTGAAACTCTCTTTTATCATCTCTTTTAACATAAGGTACATGAAAGGCGAGGGGCGTAGCGCACATTTTGCATGTGGAGGTGTGAGGTTCAGTCCCCAGCATCTCCATCTGGAGCTTGAGTCTGATTGTTTTAACAGCCTTCCTGCAGAAGCTGCTCTAGGTAAGCAGCAGGAACCCAGCACAGCAGAAGGGCAACCCTCTTCCAGTTTAACATGCCTAACCTTTCTGCTCGTCTCTCCAGATGTTACCAATGGCAGGTTGCGAGACTGCTTCATTGTAGCCTTGGGGGAAAAAAAAGGAAAAGAAAAAAAGTAGCGCTAAGTTCTATCCATCTGCTGCTCTTGGTACACATTAAGGTACAGTAAATTCCTGAGGATGGAACAGAAATCTGCATAAATGGTCTCCCCACTGACTGAAGGATGCAGCAAATTACAAAAAGATTATCTCACTTACTGCAAGTAGATGCTTTTTCTTCCTCCACAATTTCTCCCATCCAGCTCCAGTTGTTATTCTGATAACCAAGCTAAAATTGTTCTGATTGAAAGTCATCTTAATTCATCGACGTGAGAAGCCTGTCTACAAAAAATCATCCTGGCTCCCCACACAACAATAAACTGACTGCTGGGTTCCTCATCCAGACCTACAGTCTCACTGATTAAAGTCGACATGGCATCCCATTCTACTTATCCATTGCTTATGGAAGTGTTTAGAACAGCAAAGCAACCAGGTAGAACCAGGAAAACTAAACATTACACAACAGGCAAATATTTCTATCCTCAATCTCATCTCACCCAGAAACAGAAAGAAAATGGGTAGCATGTGGGTGGGAAGGAGTGTGATGCCTTGATTCCATGTCATGAATTTTCACTTTACAAATAAAATATGCTTCTTCCAAATGCCACACTTGCCAACTCAATCTGGACTGAGACAAGCTTAATTCTTTCACTCTTTTGCTTTATCAGGAGTCAGAGCCCCTGATTCGGATGACTCACTAAATGAGACACTCCAGCACAAGTCTTGAAGGAAATCTAGTCTCAGCATTCTGGAGCCTTGAGGTCCTGATGTGCAATGGCTCCACAAAGAACAGGGATGAACATCTGGATGGCGGCAATTCTACATTACTGTGACCCTCAGGTCACTCACTTTCTAGGACTCCCATTCATTCTAGATCCTGCTCCTGATTTTAACTCTCCTCCCCACAACATAACCTCTCTGCTGCTCATATGAAGGACCTTCCCTCCCAACTCCACATACCCCACCATTAGTGGTAGGAATGAAAGGCTTTCACATTCCAGCTTTCTTATCACTGCCTCAATTTCCCTTCCTTCAAATCTCAGGCAGAAAAAAAAAAGTCTGGCCTAAGAATTTCACAGAACATTAGCAAGGCAATTGGAGGATGTCAAACCCAAATCATTAAAAGAAAGATGGGGCAGGTCTTCTCCAGGTACCTGCCAGCACCCTGCTCCGGAGCCTGCACTGTGGCTCTGTACAGAACTGTGCATAGTAAACAAGTTCTGCAAGAAAAAAAAGAATCACTTTTGTCTGGTAATTAGCTTTATTATTTCACTCAAATGGCTGTCCTGCAGAATAACTAGGTGACCCGGTGTTACAGCCTGCAGAGATCAAGCAATATGAAAATATTGTCTCGACTGCTAACATTAGTCAGCAGCTTTCACAGCTGTATTACTTAAGAGATCAGGGAAATAAATGATAGGAAAAGCCCATGGGACTCTCTGTATTCCACAGTAAGAAACAGGAGTTGCAATGAAACCAATTTCTCTCTCAAACAATAAATGTATGCCTCATTCTGTACAGCATAAACCATCATTAGCCACTCAGAGAGTGAAAACATCAGTTGTTTATAACCTCTCTAAAATGAATACTTCATCCTGAAACTAAATTATACTAAGTTAATTACATGCACTTGCTGACAGCTGAAGGATTGGAACAGAAAGCCTTTCCATAAATGTCAGGACTGCTCAAATCACATGTTGCTGATTCCAAGCTTGGGAGCCTGGCATCAACATACAAACATGCTTCCAAAAAAATTTGGGTCATTCGGCCTCTCTGTTGGCAATGCTGAGCTTAAGAAAAAGTTGAACCTGAGGATTTCAAGAAAGATAGCAAGGCAACTGGAGGATGTCACCTACATCATTTAAAAAACAAGCAAACCAAAGCAGGGCAACCTCTTCAGGCACTTGTCAGCCCCTGCTCCAGCCTGCTCTGCGGATCTGTGCAGAACTGACTATTAAATAAATTCTGCAAGGAAGTGCTGTCCAAGACAGGCTGCCTCCAAATGCCAATGTAACATACACTTGCATAGGACTTTGCACACTGTGACTAGGCAATAGCTCAAGCTGGACAACCTTCATTTGTAGAAGAGGAAAGAATGACCCCCCTCTTTGCAATAGTCTTGGGGGAAATTCTATGCCAGAGCTATGTGATGGAGATTAGGTAGTCACACCAGTCCTCCTGGTTTTGCAATTTGTGACTAGTCATTCGCACATTCCCTCCTCCTGACCTCACTGTAAGTAACTATCTATCTCCAATTTACAGATGAGGAAACTAAAAAGATTAAGTGACTCTGACCAAGGGCACAGATGGGATTAGAGCACAAGAGACCCTTGTCTTCAGTGCCACGCTTAGCCCATGGCAGAACTGTCTCATGTTACTTAGCTATCTCTTCTTTTGGCCAGAAAAGCTTGAATTCAGGTGAAGGAAGAAAGAGCTGACATCAACCTCCAATGCTGTCATTGGCCCACCTAGGGTCCTTCCCAAAACGGGGAGGGAGGGAGTGGGGGGGTGGGGGGAAGGGGCAGTATCTCTGGCCACTATTTACACAGATGTTAAGGACTGCCTGCCCAGGATGACTATAAGGAGGTGAGGGAGAAAAGACAGACCATGACAATCAGAAACTGGTCTAATAGTCAGTCATTATCAGCTCTCACAATCAGCTTTCTTACAGAGTCAAGAACTCCAGACTTCCCTTTCCTTTCCAGATGAAAGCTGAGCCTCTCCTCTACATTTGTAGATCCCCAAACCGGAGATGGCTGGAGGCTGCAGCCGTGAGTATCCCTAAGGCTGGCTTTGATAGCTGGCAACTGCTCATCCTCACCTAAACCTCTGTTGAGCCTGGAAGTAAAAACAGCAAACTAACTCAACCAACCACTTTGGAGCAGAAAAATGGAAAAATGTGGGTTTTGGGTTACTTTTTTAAATCCAAAAATTGGGGATTTTTTTTTAAATCAGAGAAAACTAGGATCCCTGCACATGAGATAGAAGCAACAGTACCTGGAGCCAGCAAAGACTTGGCTGCCACCCCACCCGGCAGGTATGGGACAGAGACTAAGAGAGCCGGCAGTATCAGGCTTGGCTCCCTGCACGAAAATCCTTTTTACAAAGCCACAGTACACATATACAGACTACCAGTATCTGCTTGTGCAGTGCTGAAGCATTCTTCTGTACTACACACGCTGCCAGATAGCACTTATCACTGCATAGTTAAAAAAACCATATCCAGTTGCTGAGAGACAGCAAAGGCAAAGCTGACTTCAGCCAACTAATGCCAGCAAAATACCACAATCTCTGCATCTCTCTCTACAAGCAATATGTGTACAAAAGCCTCCGTTTATCTGCACTTACTATAATCACACGTCTAGATGACTGAAGAACTTATTAATGCCCATCTTATGGCAAATGAATATGTGGACTTTTAAGATGCATAATTTCTCTCTACATCTACAATAAAAATAGTTTGCAAGCCAATTTGGATTAACCCGGCCTCTCAGTCATTTTTATCATTTTAGGTTAGCCCCAGGGCATCTGCATGTTAGTGAACAACACAGAAAAACAGCGGTAGGGCAGGTTTTGCTGCAGTGAAGACTGTTGACAGCAGGGGAGAAGGGCCACTGGGCACTTGCACAGACAATCCTTCGCAGATTATTTAGTAATAATAGCCACCTCAGTGATTGATACCTCACCACGGGAATGGAGATACTGCCTAACTTGAAGAACAGGATCAAAATTTTCTATTAGGAAAACTGAAAAACTGACTTTAACTTGCAATACCCCAAAGCAAGACATAAGCCATGGTGCACATAAGACTCGATGGGGGCATATATTTAACACAACCTGCTTGCATGACAGGTTAAACTCTGCTGTGGCTCAAACAGACATCAGTATAATAAGCTTATAGATCAAGCTTAGTTCCACGGTGAGCACCAGGAAACATGTGACTGCCATGGCACCCTCCTGCATTGTAGCTGGGGGGCCAAAGAGCTGGTAAAAGGTTTCAGTGAACATTAATCACAGTAAACATTTTCCCCTTCTTCCATTCTGTTTCCTATTTCTGGTGCATGCTTTGTAGACATGCAGGGTTTACTTGAAGATTTTAAGACTGTACAAAAAAAGTTTATTTTCTACACCTTCTCTGGCCCCTGTTCTTTCTCTTCCTGTCAGGGGTTTGCCTAATGAAGGTTATTTCTTTTTAATCCACTTAGTGAGCTGTTGGTTAATGCCTTTGATAACAGCTAATTCCACCTCAGGGTAAAACACTGGCCCTTGGGTCTCTGCATCTTTCTTTCCTCCAGCTCAGAGGAATGCCTGCTGCTGGGCCAAGGGCAGCAAAGGGACGAATGTATAAACCTGAGCTGGCCAGATAAGGAGGGATGGAGCCAGACCAGGATTTTAAAAGCCAACTGTGTATTTTAGCCAACAGAGATATGGGGGTCAAATGTATAATAGCAGCCAACATGCCCTTGGGATTCCAGAGACCTCCGTCCCATACCCTGCCCGAGAGGGTGCCCTTGGCCAGGTGCTTCAATGTCCACCTCCGTGAAAATAAACTGAATGGCACTGACCAAGTTTTGTGAAGTGCTTTGAAATCTGCTCATGACAAGTGCCAGCTGTAAGCTCAGGTTCATCACTACTACTACTGAGGCTCCTGGTGGGATTTAAGCTAGTTAGGTGCCTAACCCTCAGATGCCGGCTCCTAGGCACTCTCCTGCAGCTTCAGGCATCCAACTGCCTATGTAATGCCCTTTTTAACTAAGCTAAAACTTTTTGTGACAGCCTGATTGTAAGTTTCAATTCCTGGCGAATGACTGGCCAAAGCAGGATCCCAGCCATGCTCAAACACAGTCATTAAATTAAACTTGAAAATTAAATTAAATATAAAATTATACAGTTAAAAATCCTTATTATTAAGCAAGTACCTCAGGCAGCAAAGTGTTCTGTAATGGCTTGTGTGGGTGACTAGAAGGCTGGATACACACATTTGCCAGTTTGACAAGGGCAGCATAATCCTTAAGAGCTGATCCGCAGAGGAGATTAATAAGGGAAAAGCCATTAACCCACTCCCCCCTTCCCTGGGGGCCAGCCCACCTCTCAGCAAGATCAAGGCATCTCAGTGATGATTCAACTGCTGGCTCCAATTACATAAGTGAACCTTTTGCTACTCAAACACAGGCAAGTAGATCTAAAATGAGCCCATGACAGTAATTATTTACATAGGGTAATACCACAAGCTGGACTGTGCAACCTTTACTCCAATCTGAGGTCCCTCACATGTGTCAGCACGTCCTCCCCAGTAAAAGCTATGCCAGGGGCCGACAATTATTTCAGCTGGAGGGTCACTTGACAGCTCACCAAAACTCGGTAAGGGCCACATGGGTAGCCCCACCCCTTAACTGTTGCCCGCCCCCTGGTCGCCAAATTGGGACCAGAAGTCCCACCCCCTAACCCCTGAGATTTGCCACTGAAAGTCCCTCCCCTTGCCCTTCAGAAATACTTCTTTCGGGAGGGGGGTTGCCATCTTAGAACCAGAAAAAAAAACAAGTCATATGCTAGAAGTCAAACACCTACTAAAATATATTGTAATTGTATTACAAAAAATATTTGTCATGATCTGTGTTTGTGTACTGTCTATAGAAGGGACTGCATACAACTCAAAAATAAAGTCTCCCTCTTTTATATTGTGTGTGGGGGTGGGGATATGGTGGAGTGTGGCTGTGTGGGAGGCATAGGGTATGCTGGGGTGTGTGTATATGTCAGTGGGGGTTGTGGGGGCACGATGTGGGTGTGTGAGGTTTATGGGGTGTGACGGAGGACGGTGGTGAGGGGATCTCACACACCTCCCCACATGGTGCACAGTCCCTGCTGCCAGAAGCAGCAGCAAGCACAGGACTCAGGGCGCTGGTGCCCAGTGCAGGCGCAGGTGCCCGGCAGGACACGGCTCCAGCCACCGCTGCACGCGGGGGCCAAGAAGCACAGTCTGTCTGGCCACCTCTATCACAGGGGCTCCATGCCATGTGCCTGCAGCTCCTTCACTCATACCAGGGGGGGCCCTGCACTGGACTCCGCATGGAAGCAGGACTCCCTCCACTCCCACCAGAGTCCATGGACCTACGCAGCATGGGGCAGGGAAGGCAGCCAGCTCCAGCACAGGCTGGCTCCCGCTGAGTTCTGCAGCACGGCAGAGCCAGCCGGCCCAGCCAGGCACCTCTCAGAAGCTTGCAGTTCCCAGGTTGCAATGCCAGGGCTAAGGAGTGCAGCAGAAGCCAGCCCAGCCCCCACAGTTCCCTGCTGCCCTGACCCCCAGGATCCCGCATGCTTGCCACCACTGCCTTTCCCCTGCCACTTCTCTTCCTTCCCTGCCCACCCACTGTTCCCCCACACACCCGCCTGCCACTCCAGCAGCATGTGGTTCCTGGCTGCAAGGCTGGAACTGCACGGCACAGCAGGAGTCAGCTGGGAAACACATGGTTCTGGCTGGGCCAGGCTGGCTCTTGCTGCACCAGTGATCCTTCCCACCCCCCACCCCACCTGCACTCTTCTTATCTGATTCTCTGCTCTCAGGCAGAGGGATGTGTGGAACAGCCCCAAGGTCACCAGGCCAGAAGCCTCTGCTAGGCAGAAGCTTCTGGCTAGGGGTAGGAGGGGCTGGGGTTGGGCTAGGGCTTGTGGGCCTTGCTGCTGCTGCCTCTGGGTCCTGCCACCAGCTCCCCCTGGGTCCTGGGTGCTGCTGGTACCTTGTCATCTTTGACATGCAGCTAGGGGCAGATAAACAGTAATTTTCTAAATTTTTTAAGCCAGACAGAATGGCCCAGCAGGCAGGATCCAGCCCGTGAGCCATATTTTGCCTGTCCCTGAGCTATGCAGTCTAACCCAACATGACAGACAGCAACAAAACACAGCTAACCCTGAGTTTTCAAATCAGTATTCAGCGTGACTGCCATATGGCTCATTCCAGTTACAGAGGCAGCTGAGCTTATGTACTACTGAAGGCACAGAAATGACTGGCTGGGATTCCTAGCTTCCCATGCTCCTATGATATCATAATATTCATAGATTGCAAGGCTGGAAGGGACCTTGGAAGATCATCAGGTCCAACCCCCTGCACCAAGCAGGAAAGATAACTGGGGGTCAGGTGACCCCAGCAAGGTGACTTTCTAGTCGCCTCTTAAAGATTTCCAGGGGAGGTGATTACATCACCTCTGGAGAGAGCTTAATCCACAGTCTGGCCGCTCTGGCTGTGAAGAAGTTTTTTCTAATGTTGAGCCTGAATCGATCTTCCAGGAGTTTGTGGCTATTACTCCTGGTTTTCTCATTGGGTGCCCTAGTGCTCAAGTTGCTCACCAAGCCCTTGGTGTACTCCCCTAGCATAGCAGTAAGCCACTACCAGGTCCCCTCTCAGCCTTCTTTTCTTCGGGCTAAAGAGCCCCAGATCCCTCAGCTTTTCCTTGTATGGCTTGCTGTGTGAGACTCTGATCATGAGTGGCTCCTCTTTGGACTCTCTCAAGCTTGTCCACGTCCTTGTTAAAGTGCAGTGCCCAATACTGGATGCATTACTGCAGCTGCTTTCTCACCAGAGCTGAGTAGAGCAGAAGAATCACCTCCTTAGTTTTGCTGGATATGCATCGACTGATGCATGCCAGAGTATTATTTGCCCTACTAGCTACAGCATCACACTGCCGGTTCATATTCAGACTGTGGTCGATTACGCCCAGGTCCCTTTCTTTTGTGGTGCAAGTCAGTTTGGTGCTGCCTAGCCTGTAGGTGTGCTGAGGGTTGCTCATCTCAAGGTGGAGCACTTTACTTTTCTCGATGTTGAACTTAATCAGATTCCAATCCGCACAACTTGCTTGCCTGTCTAGACTACAGTTACAGGTGGACCTATCTTCAAGCGTGACAACGCTTCCCCATAACTTGGTGTCGTCTGCAAACTTGACCAGTGAGCTCTTCACCCCCACATGCAAATCATTAATAAAGATGTTGAAAAGTACTGAACCAAGCACTGACCCCTGCAGGACACCGCTGCCCACTTCTCACCAGGATGACAGATCCATTCACTACGACTCTCTGGGTCCTATCCTGCAGTCCGTTTTTCACCCACCTGACTGTCCAGAGTTAAGCCCACAATCCTCCAATTTTCTCATAAGGACATCATGGGATACTAGATCAAAGGACTTTTGGAAGTCAAGTTATACACCGTCAACCTGCTCTCTTGTGTCCAGGTGGCGTTACCTGGTCATAGAAGGAGATGAGGTTGGAAAGGCAAGACCTGCCTGCGATGAAGCCATGCTGGCTGTTATTCAGAATTTTGCCTTCGGCAAGCTTATCACAGATAGACTCCTTGATGAACTTTTCTAGGACGGAAGTTAGGCCGACTGGCCTATAGCTACCCGGGTCCTCCCTCCTGCCCTTCTTGTGGATGGGCACAACATTGGCTCTCTTCCAGTCCTCGGAGACTTCTCCAGAGCACCACGAGTTGTGGAAAAGTTTCACTAGGGGTTTCACAATGACTTCGGCCACCCCCTTCAACACTCTCGGATGACAATCATCCAGTCCCGCAGACTTGTACATGTCTAATTTTTTAATTGGTCATATACCAATTCTACAGCAATAGTAGGAAAGTGATTATTCCTACCGTGCTCATCCTCTACTCTACCTGCTGTGGTTTTCTCCTTGGTCTGGTGAAAGACCAAAGCAAAGTAGTCATTCAGGAGTTCAGCTTTCTGCTGGGTGCCAGTAACCAGCTCTCCTGAATTGTTGCGCAATGCCCTCACACTCCCATTTGTTTTCCTCCTCTTCCCTATGTACCTAAAGAAGGACTTCTTGTTGTCCTTGATTCCCATTGCTAATCTAAGTTCAGTCACCGCTTTAGCCTTTCTTATCTGTTCCCTGCAAATGCAGGCTGTTATGGAATAGTCACATGATTTCACAAGGCACTAAAATTAAAACCTATGCTGAAGGCAAATGTTCAACTTAGTGAAAACATCTGCTCTTGCATCATAGCAAAGACATTTTTTTTGTATTACAAAAGTTTACCTGTGCCCATTTAACATGATTTACTCCTAACAACCCTGTTTTCAAGAGTAAAAGCTTTTAGTTGCATGCATAAAAATATGAGGCTTATGAAGGCAGTGCATGAAATCCCAGTATAACACTATCCTTTAAGCAAGGTATTTTTTGCCAAATTACAGATCTAAATCAAAATTGACCCACCATTACTAGAGCATCCCATTTACTGTAAGTGCAGCTTTGAGAGCCTCTACACCATTCATTGCATTTGGAAAATGAAAGCCATCATTGCATTCTGCCAGAATGTCAAAGGAAACGAAGTTGTCAAAGTAGAAAAGAGCTATTTCAATATGACTGTAGCAGCTCTGAAGTCTGCATATACCAGAATCTTTATTAAGAGGGAAAATCTCACCCAAAAAAGCCCCATAGAAATTTGGCATTTCAAAAGGTGTAATGCTTAAACAAAGGACCGTTTTTGGTATGTAAGACAGTGATGTTGTATAATTCCACCCCAACAACTGAGCATAATTCCATGAGGAAAAGAATGATGGACAAGCATTTCATGCCGAGTTGTTAATGGTGGAACAAACAAAGGGTTTTCTGTAGATAAAGATCAGCACCAAGAAATCTTTTTTTTTTTAAATCAGGTTGCACTATAAAGGCATTTTCAATATATGAGTAGTCCTGTAAGTTAAAAATAAACACGTGGATTTGTCACAGAATATATTCAATTTTAGGGGAGGGTTGATGGGGAGGGAAGCAGAGGGAAAGAGGAAAGAAAGCAGAATTTGCCGCTTCGCATTTATAAAACAACTGTTCTTCTCAAACCTAAATGCAATATGCTGCAACACCCGGCAAATGACTTGATAATACAAGTTTGCTCAGGTGTTCTCTCAAAGTGCAATTTTCTTCTGCTATTCCTGACAAGATTCCTCTGGAAACAAGATACTACCTAGCTTGTACATTTTCTTGTCTTCAGCTAGTTTCCAAACAGCAGCAACAAAAATAAAACACAAATACAAATGGTCTTTGATAGCAACCCTCCACGCCAGAAACTGCACTGAATTCAAAGAGCGGTCACAGGCATCCAACCTTTGTGAGAACGAAGGGGAAAGGGAACAGAGTGCAAAAATAACATTAGTGCTTTCTGATACAGCTGTGTTAGGGTCACTTGTCCACTAGGAACTGGACTTCCGCTACCTACGCATCTCACAAACTGAACAGCCCTAACTAAGACTGAACAAGTGCAGTCCTCAATAGGAAATGCTCCATTTCCTATTACCTAGTCTGTGCTCTCTAACTGCTCCCTCTCTCATTCCAGTGCCTACGTTGCCAGCTAGTTCGCTCCATGAAACAGCCAAATTATAAATATACATCTGCAACAAATTCTTAAGGCTCAGGCAAGGCAAAATGCCAGGAACTCTGAAGCCTGATTTTACAGTTCTCTAATGCAAACACTACAACTGAAGGACTATCAATGCTGTTCATTATAATCCCCTCTAATGTCATTAAAACTTTTGCACCAAAAATCCCATCCAGGCTAAAACTTGGCAGATAAAAATCTATGTCCACAGCAGGTTGGATTATTCATTAAAAAAAAAAAAAATGAATTAGGGGTTTGGGTTGGTAGGGAAGAAGGAGAGGGGAATCCCACACCTGAGGTGTAATCCCAAAAGTATCAGAGCAAGTTCCAACAGCACACTATCTATACCTTTTCTGACCTACACCAGCTTGGTATATATGCCGGATCAAAATTATCTGGGGAAATCTGTTTGCTCTATTACAGCCAAAAAAGTAGGTAAAACCTCTTGTGGCTTGAAATTACAAAGCATCTTGGAAAAGGGGAAACTGAAGGATTAAGCTCCTTACGTCTTCTTGGGACTTCAATATGGCAGAGGGGAGAGAGATGGCTATTGCCCAAAAGCTTGAATTCTTTTTATTTTACAAAGTGTCTCGGAGGCACTCACAGGTATAAAGCGAAGTGGGTGTAGTGCTCAGACACTGCCAATAAAGGGTCCTGGTCCCAGGTCCAGTTCCTGATCTCACAACCTGGTTAAAAACCAGGCCTTGTTTTTTCAACTATGGCTTTTCAATAGGTGGCTGAAGCCAAGGCTCGCTGGCATAGTGCCTGCCTGTTCTTTCTTGTACAAATGCCAAGAGAGACTGATTAGCACATTATACAAGCAGAGTACAAATTATAATTAAATACAGAGCAACCGCCCTTACAATACAATTACTGATATGGGTGAGTTGGGCTGACAAACTTCTTCCCAGTCCCCCAGGGAACAGGGACTTCCAGAGTCACTCGAGCCCAATCCCTGCTGCTGCAAGCAGGATGGACATTATAAACGTGAGCAGCATGACGGCCTCATTGGTTTTCTCCTGTGCCCTGCTTTCAAGAGCATTCACTCTGCCAGAGTCAGAAACGAATCTACAAATGAGAGAGATAAATATCCTTCCTCTGCCCCACCTCACTCCTGTGCCCCATACTTGCATGTACAACCCAGAAACTCACATTTCAAAAGGTTTGGGAGAAAACTGCCCCAAACCAATGCCAGATCAGACGGTGCTCCACCCCACCCCAATGAGAATTCACGGGACACAGTTATGCGCAATTGACGGCAGCCTCCCCATATGGCAATGGTGTTTTCACTACACCAAAAAGTATGTTGGTGTTTTCATGAGGGCCTTTTACTCATTTGCTTTTCTTCCACTGACCAGGCTGATTATTACCATCTCCATTCCATGTCCTTCCTAGCTTAAAACCACGTTCTACTTTCCTAGCTTAAAACCGCGCTCTTCTAAATAATCCCATGTAGTAAAAGCACGGAGGTCTTCTGTCCTGATTGATAGAGCCCATTTGCAATTATTTAACAAGAAGAACCATCATTACACAGAGCTGGTTTAGGCTGATCAAATTCCTGTTAGTTTACCTCAATTTACACATCATAAGTGTCACATTAATATAAACTAACTAAAACTTTCTGCATTTAAATTACGCCCGAATAAAATTACAGAAACAAAAGGAGAAGCTGACCCAAAGAGAAGCCCCTTCCCCCCACCCCCCCCAAACCCAACTGCTGCTTTAGGGTCCTCTAACCTGGGCAGACCAGGCTCAGGAATAGCAGCAGCAAGCAATATGCAGCCTGATTTTGCCAAATCAGTTCTGCAACACTGGCTTCTGCAACACATGCTGATTTAGTGAGGAGGACTTAAGTCAGGATTTTCCAGCAGAACAAACCCCAGTGGCAGTCACAGATGCTACAGTGCCATGTGATTAATGTACTGGCCCATTACAAACGAGGATGTGAAGCGCAGGTGGTTCTGAGAGCCTCCTGGAGAAGTTTCCCTGCAGTTTTCAGGAAGCTAACAGATTCATCTTATGACCCAGCCACTCAGAATACAAGAGCAAGCTGTTACATCCCCCCATGTAACCAAACTAAGAAGAAACACCACACAGTCCAGGCCCCTGCCAGGGCAATACATCCAACAGCCCTCTGTATTAGTAACTCTCCAAGGCAGACACCATGGTCACAAAGTACTTAAAAACCACCAGCTGGTCACTCAAGCCTGATATATCCAATTTTCACCCCCATTTTGCAGAGGAGGAAAATTCAGATGCAAACTCTTTCAAGTGTGTACACACATTTGTGTGTGTACCTGAGTTAGTAAGGAAAAGTGCTCAGGGCTGTATACAAGCACAGCAATCCTTAGACAGTGTGCGTGCGCATGCACGCACGCACGCACGCAGAGTGTTTGGAGTGTACATGCTGTTTAAAACACTCTTCTGAATGGTTCACACAGGAAATCCACAACAGGGCTGGAAATACAACCCAGGGGTCCTGAATCCCCATCCGTACTCTATCCCATCAGCACTTTTAGCTTTTTTCACAGTATGTTCAACTCCTTGCCCAATTCAATTGTACAGCTAGATTTTTAAAAGTACTCCTCCAGTCACTGTTCAGGGGGTGCACCTCCTTGCAAGCTGCATCTATGCTAACATTTTTCAAAGAGTACCCCACTGGTGTGGCTCTGACAGGACTGGTGCTGTCACATGGCATCCCAGCAGGTCAAGAACACACCTGACCCCTGCAACTCTAGAAGGGACAACAGTAGGAGACTCCTTGAAAAGTGCTAATAAAGAAAGACATTCACATTTCAATAATATGCAAATGTGATCCAGCAAATCAAGCTCTTCAGAGTTAATCAACACCCCACCCTGATCCTCCACCCTAGGAGCAGGAGGGGCTCAAGATCTCATCCTCACTCCAATAATTGACTATTACTTATTCGTAAAGCCTTTCAACCATGGTTGATGTTTTGCTTTCTCTGGGAGCATAGTCATTTAAGTCACTTCTTTGCCAGAGACCATAGTAATTTTTCTTGTTTCCATTCCACTGCTATTTTTCAAACCACTATAAAGTCAAATGTAATAAGTGCCTCAACTCCTATAGCTTTCTATTTATAATACCGCAAACACCTGCTTTGTGATCTAAGCAAACATCTTTCCAGCTTTTATAGATTCATTCCGATGGTGCAAAAAAATCTCTGTAAGCTACAGTGGTTTCAAGAAGCATGCCAAAAAAACTGCTGTGCAAGGTGTACCACATCAAAAGTTGGTCAGTAGCAGCTATTTAAACATTCTTCACCTTAGGCAAAACTCAAGAGAATCAACTAGTAAATGGCTCTTCTGGACACCTCACTACATGCCCAACCCACCCTCTTCTGTATCCTCAGTTACAAAAATTTTGAGCCTGATCCAAAAACAAATGGCAATGGGGACCTCACTGCATACCTATGACTTTCTTACCACGATACCCAGTCAGAGACTAGGACCTCATCATACTGTCATAAATAAAACAGAAAGATGGTTCCCAGTACACAGAGCTTCCCATCTGCATAAGACAGGTGACAACTGATAAGTACAGACAAGCCAAGGGAACACGGGGAAACAACACTGGTCAGCATGGTGGCCAGTGAACCCAGAACATCGGCTATCTAACCAGTACTGCAAAACTTAAGTTTTACAGAAAGGCTGGAAGAGAATAAAAATACTAAGGACAGGAAAACTACCAGAATGATGACTTCACAAATAAGGATGGAGAAAGCATTCTAGTCAGTGTTGAAAAGGCCCCAATTTGGCCAACATTTACTTTTCTGTTTGATTTGGTGCGATAGGCACAAGTTAAGCACATAGAAGAAAGTTTGCAGGATGGTGTTTTGTTTGATTTTCCTCAGGAATTACGCAATTTAAACACCAAAACAGACTGGGGGCGGGGAGGAAATCTTGGAGAGATTTATGATCACTGCTTCAGACTGAGAAATGAAAGAACTCCCACTTTTCTCTCAATGGCCTGCCAAAAATAAGGACCTTGATATTCCAAATACTTCTCTCTTCCGATACAGATAAATGGTTTATAGTGAGTTAAAAGGTAGGGCATGGGGTTACTGTCCATCTGCAGTCCATCATTTATCCCATGATAAGTGAGCTGAGCCAAACTGCAGTAATACACCCCTCAGTGCAACAGGTATAGCTTTCCCTTACAGCAAGGAACAGGCAGACAGTTCCTGTGAGGCAGCAGCTCCACTGTAAGGGCACTCTCCACTTTTTAACTTGCTGTCATTTGCTGGTCCATCACCTTGAAAATTAGCAAATGTTTATTTGGGAAGCAAAAGGACACAAATCACCAGGATTTCTTTGGACATTATAATCAAAGAAGGCACAAACCCATTTTTCTTCCCTTGCAGACCCTTCTTCCTCCACATCCCCTCCTAGCCTCTAGCGGAAACTTCACACTTCTCATCCCAGATCTCCTGCAGCTCAGGTACATTCCCCTTCTCCATTGCTCCCTTTGGGAACGTTACTGATGTGCAGGGATCCTGGTTTTCTCCTATTTAAAAAATCCCCAATTTTCGGTTAAAAAAACCCAGCAACCCCAAATCCATATTTTTCCACGATTGAAATGAATCACCACTAATATATAGATACATATATACCACGGCATTTCATTTTAATCACAGAAAAATGTGGATTTGGGGTCACTTTTAAAAGCAAGAATTGGAGATTTTTTGAAATCAGAGAAAACCAGGATCCCTGCTGATGCGTCACAATTGCTATGCCAAATAAATCACCTAGGGGGTAGGAAAGAGGCATACAAGCCACGTTTTATGTTTCTGAGCCTACTGATAACATACATCATTTCTAGTTTTGGAGCAACAAGGAAAACTTAAAATGGCAAATGCTGCTCTGCCTCCCATCCATAAATTAGGAGTGACAACAGGAGATTATTACTCATTCACTCAGAGTGTCTGTTTGGCCCGGAGAGAACTGGCTTTATTCCAATGGCTGACAAACACTGGTTAATATACATGTAAATGTTTTATTTCTCTCAGAGTAAGCAATTTCACAAAATGAAACACCGAATTAAAGACGAGCCTGGTTTTCCTGCTGATGCCTGTCTCAGCTGCAGTGTTGCTAAAAGCTTTTGCAATCTTTTTCACACTGATTCAGCAGGGGAAAGCCACCATTTCTTTTGATAGTGAGACAATTTCACTGTAGAAACATCAAAGCATTTTGTATAAATATTAATCACAGGCGTTCTTCTGGAATTAACACAGGATGGAGGCTGATTTATATGGGGCTCCTGTGTTGCCCTGATAGACCAATACGTATTGAGGAGGTAAAGCAACCTGTTGTTTGCTACAACAGCCAAGAACAAGTTAAAAAAAAAAAACCCTACAATTTCCATTGCAAAAGGGTATTTTCAAATGCATTTCACAGTTCATAAGACGCAGGAAGGGAATCTTGTCATGCGAGTCTCCAAATTTCGTGGCTGAATACAACAAGTACATTATTTTTCTTAGAAAATTATTACTAACATCTGAAGGGGAACAGAATGAAAGAATGTGATAGGAGCCAAAAAACATTTAACTCAGAGATAAACAGAAGTGCCATAACTTGAAAAGGGGAAAATTGATTTTAGATGGATATAATAATGTTTTATCAAGGTGGTCAGTCCATGTTCATCACTGCTGAATCTGAAGTTAAGAGCAAACCCTGGCTACTCCCAGCTGCCTCAGTTCTTGGGCATGATGGTGCAACGGCACTGCTGAGGTTGCAAGAAGTGCATTTGGGAAGGCTACACAGGGCATACACAGTTCAGGAAATTCCTGTGAGGCTCCCTGCATTGCCATGCTAGACAGATAAATTGATCTACCATTAGATGGATTCACCAAGCATCCATAAAGATCCAGCTTGTGGTTGGATGTCTGCCTACTTCCTCTCCCTGCTATGTACTCTAAAAACACATGAGTTAAGAGAAGGTTAAAAAGCTCCTAACATCCAGAAACCCTGGTTTTAGTCTCTCTCCAGCAGCACCAAACCTATCTAATATTTCAGAAAAAGCGAACTTACAAGGAATACAAAATAAGTTAAAGACACCTTTAACTTACTGGAAATCAACAGTAGGAAGTAGAAAGCATTTAAGAAACAACTGGGGCAACTGCAATCAAAATTCATCTCTGTCAAGTGAAAAAAGCACAAAGTGAATAAAAACAAATGGGAAGTAAAACTACAGACAGGAGACATCTAAAAAGACAGGAAAAACTCAGCAGAGCCATACACGGGGACTGCAGCAATATATTTAAAGAAGAATGTGGGGCCCTCATCCTGCAACATGTTCCAGCTGTTCTACTGAAGAGCAGTGACTTCAGCCAGGGCTAAACATAGTCATAAGAGTTCCTGTTCATGCAGTGGTCTGCTGGACTTCAGCTGTATGATGGCAAAAAGGATGAATAGAATTAAATTTAGGGTGGGAAAAACTAGCAAGATTTTCTGTTCAAAGTGAACAGGAAAAAGCAGCACAGCCATGGGACGAACAACTATATGAATTAAAATCACTGTCAAAATGGTATTCGTGTTTACTTTCCAAAATACCGTAGATTTATGTATACCTATAACAAGATATTCCAGGGCTTGTAATTGCTGAAATAAGCGCGACTGGATGGCTTATTGCACACAGCTATGCACTTTGCATCCTACAGTGCACCCTGCAGTGTTGTCTTTACATAAAATACAACCCCCACTCCCTGTATATTACTGCTTACATAATACATTTAGGAAAAAAAAAAAATCACACAGGGAGCCTGCTGAATGGAAGGATGACAGCAGAATGAGTCAGTGCTGGATTCAAGACAGAAAACATTTTTAAATTTATTACAGAGTATCACTTGAATGCTCAACTTTGTATGTGGCTGCAATGAATAACACGCTTCACTGACCTGCCAGAGCAAGCACCTCTCTATAAAAGGAGATGGCACTATTACTAGAGAAGCTACCAGTTAGACATCACTGGGCACTATACCTGACAGATTTTAACTCTATCTGATAGCTAATCAGACTTCTTAATAGGCTTCCTTGAGTTTCCGTGATGTCAGATCACACTGCATGCAGAGCTTGGATCACATAATTTCTATTTCAATATATACTATACCCTTCCTCTGCTGCATTCTATTATAATTTTGGCTACTGAGGTTTACGATCCTACAGGAAGACCAAATGGAAAGCCACAAGTTATATAAGCAGTCAGCATATTCACTATTTGCTACTGACCTCTCAGTAAAAACAGAGCCTTGAGAAAGATCGATTTCATACTGCACACTTGGATTTTTCTGAAAGTCTGAAGTTAGTTTATTCCAGGTGTACCACTTCCTCTATCCCCAAACAGAATCGGTCTCATTTAAAATGCAGAATGTATGATGGGAGACTGCCCTTCCTGGCATCATTCTTTCCCCACTAAAGGAAACAACTTCACAGGACTCCAAGCCTTGAAAAAGAAGCACCTTTACTCTATATTCTTGTCTTACAGCACTCAAAAGCTCAAGCTTATTTCCCCCAAACTACTCTTCCTCATTATACGGTTAAACCTTTTCAAGAAGGGAGTTTCATTAACACGCAAAAAGAACGCTTTGTTATTTTTATCGTGATGTGATACAGAGACACGGTCAATTTGAAATCTAGTCAGTTTCAGGAGACAAACTGAAGGTTGCCTGAGGCCTTATACCCATTGGCGGATTAACACCAAGAGCCCCTGCCAATCAGAGACCCCCTGGTGCCCGGGTTCCCGTGGGAAATGGCAGGTTTCCCCTTGCAGGTGGGCAGCGTTCCAGCCCACAGGGGGCTGGTGGAGCGAGACGCAGGGGGTGCCACACGCACATGGCCTGGAACACAGCTGGGCAGTATGGAGAGCAGCTCCCTTCAGGTAAGTGTATGGGAGGGAGGTGGCATGGAAGGGGCAGATCAAGGCCCCCACAGTGAGGAGGCAGTGGGGCTAGGGCTGGAGGCACTGCCCAGCCAGGGTGCTGTGTGGGACCCAGGGCTGGGGTGGGGACTGGAATGCAGCCATGGGTGGCTCGTCCAGGGGGCATGGGGAGGGGACAGCTCCCTGTCACTGTGCACACCCCCAAGGGAGGCATGGGGGGCATATGCCCCTCCCCCCATATTTGTGCACAGGGCAGATGTGGACTGTTCATTGTGGGCTTGGGGCTCTCCGCTTTGCTGCCTTTGCCCCCAGGGCCCTGTGCCAGCCATGGTGGGGGCGGCGAGTTGTGCAGCCCACTGCTGAGTGGGCAGGAGACACGTGGCCCCCAGGGCAAAGGCAGCAGGGCAGAGAGCACCAAGCCTGCAGCCCGCATCCACCCTCGCTCCGCTCAGCTCTGCTCCAGCCATGGCAGGGAGGATTGTGGGAGGGTAGGGCACAGGGAGGAGAGGCAGGCATGTGCCACCCCACCTCCAGCTCAGCTGGGTCCACCCAGCCTCCCCTGTGGGGCACAGAGGCCCAACACACCATTGGCAGTACCAGGAGGGGAAGGGGCCCCTCCTCCAGCTGGAGCCCAGGGCCCCAATAAATCTTAATCCACCACTGCTTATACCTACCTCAGGATTTCCCTGATGATTTTTCAGACTCAGAACGATGCAACTGTGTCTTAAGTCCTATACTGTTAATTGCAAAAGATTCTTCCTTAGCCTAAACAATGAAGACTTGACTTTCAAAACACTCCTTTTTTGAGTTTTCTATTCACACCACTATTTCGAGGTACTGAGTGACTATGGCCTGTAGCCCACAGACAACTATGACGTCTTCTGAACCAAAGATTTCCTAGCTTTCTACAGCTACCATTCTAACTGTATTATTTGATTTGTTATAACTATGTAAATAAGGTCTTAAAGTAAATGGATTCTAATGTGATGAAAGAACACTTGAGCTTCAAGGCATGGCCAGGGCCTGAGAGAGAAATTTGGGGGGCCTGGTACATCCTGGTAGGTAAGTGGACCCTCAAACCTCTCATTTCAGAAACTATGAGTGGCCTGATTGTGGCAGAACCAGTACCCCCATTGCCCATCTAACATGCCATAAATATGATTTCTAAGATTGTACCTAACCCAGACCCAGCAAAACTCCACTTGACTACAGTCAAATCTTTTTTGGCCAAATCACAGCAGACACTGTTGTGTTGACAAACAAAACTGGATGTGTTTGTAATGCTGGGCTCTGCAGCAAAAACATTATATTCACTCTACTATTGCTGGCAGCAGAATTCAAAGGGACTTTAACACCCCTGCCCCCCATATTATGGAAGTGGCCCTCTGGCATTCTGAATCCCAGGGGGCAGAAAGAATTAAGTGGAGAACCTACACTGCTCAGGAACACTGGACACCTTAACAGTTCCCAGAAGAGTGGTAACTCCTGAATGCTAACAGCTCTTCAAATTTTTGTGGTAGTTAGTGGGCACCTTAGGACACCTTAAGATTTTCATCAGAGGCTGCAGCAGCCCTACCTGTGGATCCCCCAAACTATACAGAAGAAAGTCACAGCACTGAAGTAGCAGAGACTCACCTACTTCCCCATCTCCATACTCTTGTACATCCCTCAGCTCATATTTGGGGAATGGATGCCCACTCCTTCAAAAGAAAATTCTGGGGGAAACAGACAGACACAATTCCATACAAATTGTGATGCCCCAATTCCCACACACTCTCTCTTAAGTGAGTGGATCAGAACTTTCCAGGATTATATAGTGTGAAAAATAGCCCAGTAACATAAAAGTTAAGCCACTGAAGAGCATATATTTTGTTGACTGCTTTCCTAAAATAAATTTTTGAAAATGTACTGCATTTCCTTCACTCAGACAGTGTCTCAAGTCTAATGGATACCTCTTGTGGACCCTCCTTCAGTTTTCAAGTCTGCTTCTCCAGTCTAATGCCTTGGGAAGGCTTAATGCTCCAGCCATTGCCACTCTTTGTATTACAAAGAAAGAGAGAGTTGGAAAGGTTCATTTTAACTAATCAGGCCACTCACAATCCAGTTCTTTCCCTGAATTCTTCCTCTGATGCTCACTGGTACTTGTATGGGGTTGCAAGAACCATAGCTGTGAAGATACTTGTCTCTTTTCAAGTGCTGTCTCTTTCAAAGTGCTACGGCTCTAGGTCTGAATAGGCAGCCTTTAAATGGACTTGACCGTGCCTCCTGAGAGTTGGAATAAGCATTTTTAAAAATGCCTCAGCTCCTGTATAGAATGATCCTGCATTCCAAACAGATGATGTTTAAAATCTATTTATTTTTAATGTTTGCTTTTGCAACCTGAGCATGAAGAGCCACATACGTTTCAGAAGAGGCTTACTCAGCACGCACGGGCCCCGACAGCAGTGCCCTAAGGTGACACTGACTCATAAGTGCCCAGTGTACTAGGATGAAAAAAAGGAAAGGAGAAGTGAAAGGAAGCTGCAGGCTGACAGTACACCCTATATTTAAATCATCTGCAGAATGGATTTTAATACTAAAAAAACAAACAAATAACCTTCCAGACTGTATACCCACATCACCTTTGGGCCTGAAACTTCATTGCTCAGGTGTCCCAAATTCCCACTTAGGGAAATGGAGGTAGAAGAATCCAGAGCCAGACTCCTGCAAGAACATGGACATTTGAAACTTATGCCAAGACGTCTCCAGCAGCAAAGGAGGAAGAGCTGCTGGGCTCTTTTCAGTGTCACCGTAAAGGCAGAAAAAAGGATATGTTACAGCCAGAAATTATAGAGCAAAAGGCCGTTTTGTCATGCACACTAGTCAAACAGACAAGCACTGCCACAGCTCTCTTACAGGGGAAAGATGGGAGGTTTTTAAAAGGCAAATAAGTAATTTATGTAAGCATTTCCCATTGAAAGTTGGGCACACCTAACTGCCTCGTGGGACTGAAATCCTTCCTTAAGTATATATAAAAATCAAAGATTCATTTCTTTAGAACAGGGGCGGGTAATTATTTCAGGTGGAGGGCCGCTTACTGAATTTTGGGAAGCCACCGAGGGCTGCATGACAGGCAAACAGGGGCAGATAAATATTTATTTTCTAAATTTTTTAGGGGCCCTGCGGGCCGGATAGAATGGCCTGGCAGGCTGCACCTGGCCCCCGGGCTGCATTTTGACCACCCCTGCTTTAGAAGCTCTTGAGTGCATTAGTAACAGCGCACTCCGCTGCAAACAGGATACAGATTTTGCAAGTCAGGTGTATTGTTTTCCCGACACTTTTTTTTTTTTTGCAGTTCGGTCAGCTTAGCCACTGACAAGTAAGTTTTGCCATCTAGTTCTCTCACCTCAGCAGAATATTGCTACATTTGGGGAGGGGGTGGAGGTTTGCATGAGCATAAGCATTTACAAGTAAATATCAAGCTGATTATACCTGACATTTTACACACAACACAAAAATGCTTATTAAAATGCAGGACTTAAAAGAATTAACACGCCACAGACATTTTCAACACAGAGGAGACTTATCAGTGGCTTAACTTGAAATCTTGTCAATTTAAACCCATGTGAAGTGGACAGGGAAACCGTCTCAGGCACCACATCTTCCCCCTAGGATGCCTGCCAAATTTCCAGATTTCACAGCCAACGTTTTCTACTTTGTTAAGTATTTCTCTCTCTCTTATCACTGTGGGAAAGACTCTAACCAAGGGGTAAAGCTGGCTCAAGCCTTGTCTACTGCCTGAAATAAACAGTAACAAGCTGCACCCATCAATCAGGGGTAGCCGTATCAGCGTCAAACCCTGCCACATAGGCAAACGAAAACTTAAATGCACTCTCTATATCAGTGGTGCTCAACCTTTTGGCCCCACGAGCCAGATGTGTGATGCAAGGCTTGTCTGCAGGCTGGATTGGGCCCTGGGCTGCCCCTTCCATACCCTGTGTGCCAGGACTGGGTCCCAGGAGCCCGAAGCCACCTGCTCCTGCCCCCTGCATGCTAGAATGGGTTCCAGGAGGTCTGTAGCCTTCCCCTGTGCACTGGGATTGAGTGCTGGGGCCTGGTGCTGCCCCCTCCTGTCCCCCGCATGTCAGGATTGGGACCTAGGAGGGAAGAAGGGAAGGCACTGGTGCTGCACCAGATCCAGAGCACAGTGCCCTGGGCTCTCCATGGATCAAATGATTTGGCAGCAACATTTCTGGACCCGTGCAGAGTCCCGCAGTCTAGATGACATGGGGCCACAAGACACAGGTTGAGCACCCCTGCTCTGTGTTAATCAGTACATGTCCCTGTGCAGAGGCACTGCAAGCTTTTCCAGTGCCTGGAGCATAAAAGGAGAGCATGGGGGGAAAGGGGCATGAAGAGAGCTGGAAAGGAGTCTTACCTGCTTGATCTTGCCTTGCTTGAGTGGCAGGTGCTACTGCTGTTGCTGCTTTAACAGCACAGGTTGGGACAGGCTGCAGCACCAAGGCCCCTCCCCGGTACCGCACTTGCCCTCCATCCTGGAGAAAGGGCTGACTCTCCTACAGCAAAGCCTGCCAGAGGGAAGGGGCATCACTCCACCCCCTCTCCACACAATCAGGTGCACTGCTTGGTATGGCATTGCCCCTGCTCAGCTCCCTATGGACTGGGCCACATGGTTCTACATGCTATGGAAAGAATCCTGGGAGAGGGGGTCATATTATCACTCCTTCCAAGTTGGTACCCTGGGCTGATGCCATTCTCACCCTGCCCTGCTTACTCTGCTGTCCCCATGTAATCCTGAGAGATGAGACCAACTGAAGCTGCACTGATTACACTTGGCAATAGCCTGAATACAGCAGACAGGGCTTTGAGATCAACAAAAAAAACAGCTTCCCATTACCTTTCCCTTTTCAAATGCATAAAGAAACTGAACAAACAGAGAAAGTGTCTCCATCCCCTGCCCCAAGTCCTACAGTAAATCTGTGTCTAACTTGCAAAGTTCAGTCAGGAACATGACTTAAACTGATAGTTCAAAAAGAAAAGTGAATGGCTTACTCTGCCTGAGACTGTGAATTTGACACAGGAAATTTAACATGGTTCCCTCAGCAGTTATAGGTCTGCCACATTTGGCATTTTTGCTCCTCAAAAGAACACGCACACTTCTTCCTGAAATGCATATATATGGATAATCCCACATGCAATAAGAGTTACAGGTTACATTCCTCGATTGCCTTAAGATGTTAACACTATAGCCCCATGATCAGGGAGGTAAAATTAGCGAGGTTACAATTACTGGATTGACATCGCAATTTAACTGTACAAAATCAGGCTTAACCACTGAATAAGTAAGCCAAGAGAAAGAGACTGAATATAAGGAAACTGATTAACAATTGTCTACAATTCAATGACAGTAATTAGAGTCTGCCAACCTAAATTCCCCAAGCTCTCTCCTACTGGTGAGTATATCCTTCAGGTTTCTGTTCAAAAACCTGCCAGGTTACTACATGCAGTTAACCAGCTGTGATCTTATGCTCCAGGGTGGTTGCACTCTGGTAGCAGCTGAGTGGATTCCGGTTTCCGAACAGATCCCAGGTCTGTAAAGACACAGATAAGTACTGTATTTACTTGAATCCAAGATGACCCTCCCCCCCCCCTCCAATAATTAGGCTTTTTAAATGAAAAATGTATAATTTTATTATAATTTGCTAGGTATAACATCTAATTACTAGAAGGCCACCTTAAATTTGTCCTCCCCACTGCTACAGCCAGGAAAACAGCAGCAAGGAGATAAGCAGCAGGGTGGTATGTCCCCCCCATCCTCCCCAAGGTGCCTGTGCCCCTTGCTTTCCCCCACCACTTGCCACTCCTTCCACCTGTCCCCCATGGTGCCTGTGCCCTCTCAACACCTGCTCTCGCCTGCCATGCCTGCACCCCCTTCCCTGCTCCATTTGCTGAGCTCCCCCCTCTCCTTTCCCCTGCCAATTACCATCCATTGAGGCTTGGGCTCTGGCTTTCTGTCCAGCCAGGGAGTAGCAGCTACTGTGGCAGTGGCCCCGGCCCCAGCTCCTGGACTGGGTTGGCATTAGACCTAGGACTAAGGCCAGAGCTGCCACCCCCGGTCCAGAACCGCAACTGAGAGTAAGTGGCTGGGGGAGGAGGACAGAGGTGGCAGGGGCAAATGACAGGTGGCAGAGGCTGAAGCGGAGGCTATGGCTCCAATGCCAACTTGAGGCCATGGCCAGACTGAAGAAACTGCCTGTTCCCCCTCACTCACATGGGCTAAATAAAAGTATATATATGAATCAGGATAAAAGTTCAAAGGAAGTAATGACCTATGATAGCCTTTAATGCTGTAGGCACCATGAAAAGAGTAATATTTGCTCCGTGCTGATTTCCTTCAAGTGTGCCACAGTGCGGTCACACCTCTTTAACCCTAGTATATTTGCACCATAACAGATTTGTTTTCAGCACTGCTGATGGTCGAAAAAAATCAGCTAGATAAGTGCTTGTAAATATCAGTAGTGAGGCAGTGAGGAGTCCCAGTCAAAGTGCCTTGGCTAAACAGCTGCTAGACTTTCAAGGAGGGCACAATGGAAATAAAAACCCTAAGCAACAGCCTTCGTCCCTCCATCAAGTTATTTGTGCCTTGAGCAAAGGATGCCACGTTCTTACTTTCCTTGGGACAAAGACACAAACACATTGGTTGAGGCAGAAGCAGCTTTTACAACTGATGCTGCTCTTTATTCTACACTCTTTTTTGTGAAATACAGAGACAATTTTGAGCAAAGCCTTTGGGAAAAGAGCTTTACTCAAAATCACTAGTCCTCTGTCTAGCACAATGAGAGCGGAGAATGCAAATTAGTTCCAATAAAAGCAGCTGGCAATCAATAGGGGAGGGCTGGACTCCAAGAGTGAAACTGGCTCCTCTGAGGATAAGAGTTAAAAGGGGGAAAATATAAGAAGATGAAAGCAATGAAAGAGCAAGTGTAAACAACACCTAAAAGGAGAGAAAAAAAAAAAAAGGAGAAAAATCAAATGAAAAGAGGAGTGACAAAGAACAGTTCTGGGGAGAAGTTCCAGGGAAAGGAAACCCAGAACACAATTAGAGTGCAGAGGAAAGGATCATTAGGAAAAAGAAGTCTAATGGAAAGATGTGCAATTCACACAGAAGATGAAATGAAGATCATGAAAGAAAAGATAAGAGGCTAGCTGGGACAATGGCTTAATGTACTAGTCATGAGCTCAAATTCCAGCCTACATCAAACATGTTATGAGCCTTGATAACGAGTGAGTCTCAGCTTCCTTCGCAGTGCCCATCTGGCTAAATCACAAAGCCATTGTGTGTACTTGTCTCTTTGTACTATCCGCCACGTTGGCTATTACCTGTCCTAACCAAGCATCCACTCTCTAGTCAGTCGTATCCTCCTTCTGAACTCAGCTATCCCACGAAGCCTACCATTAACAAACCACAGCAGCAAATGCTCAGGCAGCGCCTTGCTGCCACCCCCACAGAAACTGTTCTGCATGACAGAAACTTCCGCTGAGTTTCCCTGCGTATCTGATCTGTACCACCTGTTCAGACAGCAAATTCAGGAAATAAATCCTCCTTTAGCTTACAGAGAGGGTACCTAATATTATACATGTGGAAAAATGGTGCTACTGGCAATCTCTGCTCAGGAGAAACCAAAAATAAAGTCACAGCAGCTACAGGTCTGGACTGAAGGGCATTTTAAAAATGCTGTGTATGAAAGCTCACCTATTCATTGCTTTCTACCCACTCACCCTAATCTGGCTCTAGTTATGGCTTTTATCAATATCCCACACAGAAAGCTTAGCTAACTTTAATTTTAAGTTGCTAAACCGTATATCCCAGCAACAGTGCCTCCTGCAGAAAAAAGCACCAAGAAAATAAACAGCAAGGTCATTCAATGGCCCTTTCAACCAGAAGGCTCCCAAAGCATCTTTACCAACACATGATACAAGATTACAACACTACCACACCAAATTCCAGCTAATTCTTCATTTAAACAGCACGTATCCTTTTTTTCTTAGGTAGGATACCTTATTTAGACCAAGAAGTGATCTTACCTCTCCCTGAAACCTCATGGGAAAATCTAATCAACACAACTATTAACAGATTAATTGGCCAAATCTATTAAATATGAACACCGGTATTATCAAAACTGAAGCAGGGAACAACTTCGGGCATCACCTACTCTGTGAAAAGTACCATTAGGCTTTTAATGGCTGAAGCCTTTGAGACCATTTAGACCCTTTTGCTTTTAAAGCACAAAGCTCTCACACATGTACACATGACAAATGATAAAACTGACATAGGAAAAGAACAAGGGGGGTGGGAGAGTAAGAGAGACCAGATGAAACAAAAAGCAAAAAAGTGCAAAACTAAGTGACTTGGTGGGTAGAGAGAATCACAGACCAATATTAAATCATACCACATTCTCACCCTCTGGAGACTCAGATCTATCTGAAGGCCCATAGCAAATCCAACCCCCCCCGAAAAGCTGATTTCAACTTCTGTGACTAAATGAAAAGCATCCCCCACAAGCACCCAAGGTACTTCATCATCCTTCATTCACGTTCAGCAGTTGTTCTGGTGTTTGTCTAGATCAGGAAAATTTGCCCCACCTTAACTGCATGGATACAATTACACCCATACAAACACAGGGGCTTACAGTGATGCAGACTACCTGAGCCAGGGTCATGCTACTCTGCAACCAAGTGGAGGCAGTCATACCAGCACTGATTTCCCCATGCTAGACTAGCTCTTAGACTTCCAGAGCTGTGGACAGCAAGGCCCTTCCATATGAGAATATGTGCTGGATTATGAGCTCAGGGGTCATCAGTGGGTCTCACTGCTGACTTTGCTCTTCTGCATAAGGGTGCACAGCAAGAGAATTACTCACCTTTGCCAAGAACATAATGAAACAGTAATATAAAAAGACAAAGGCAGCAACGTGGCTAGAACAGTGGTTCTCAACCGGGGATCTACAGCCCCCTGTGGGGCCACAGGCAAGTGTCCAGGTGTCCGCACTGCCCCCCAGCCCACCTTCCCTCCAGGGTAGAGCCGTGGCCTGAGGGGAATGGCGGCAGCAGCAAGGTAGAGCTGTAGCTTGGCACACAAGTGGCTGGTGACAGGAGGAAGTGAGGGTAGTGGCCCCCAGACCATTATGCCTTTCACTACTGGTGACACAGCTGATGCAGGGGTCCCAGCAGTGGCAACAAGTCTTGCTGCCCCACTCCGCCCTCCTGCACTGAGTCCTGCTCACTGGTGTGCCAGTCCAGCCAGCCTGTGGTCTCGTGCAGTGTTGGCACACAAATCTGAGGGGATATTTGCCCCCCCATGCCCCTGCAACACATCACCTATGCCCCCCCACAATACTGGGTATTCAGAAAAACAGTTGGTGTGGTACAGCTGGGCTGTGGAGTTTTTATAGCATGCTGGGGGGGGACCTCAAGAAGAAAAAGGGTGAGAAGCCCTGGGCTAAAGAATACCACACACAAGGGAACCTCTCACATGTAAAATGCCAGCTATGGATAAAGGCCCCTGTCTCTATTTTAGGAACTCCTACCATTCTAACCGTCTTGCTGTGCCCAGCACAGGCATACCAGGGTTGGACGGGCAATACAGTAGCACCTGCAGAGGCCAGGTCATGCCCTCACTCAAGCATATGAATTAGCCTTCAATATTCCCAGTGTGACACCTCATCAGGGATCTGGCCATCTGCCACCTGTCCAAAGACCATAATGGAACTGACACATCTACCCCACAAGTGTCATGGGAGGTAGAAGAAAGACACTCAAAAAAAGTGAGTTATGAAGGCAAGTTAAAGTTTGGCCAAATGGACCACCCCAGCTCACTTCTGGCCACAGCCAGCCACATAACCTCGCACCACCACTGACACGGATACAAGAGCTTTGCTTACAGAACCAAGGCTATAAACAGAAGTTGCCAAATGAATTGGTTCAGCTGGGCCAGGATGCATCTCACTCCACTGGGAGAACCAGACCTAACCCATGTCTTGCAGGGTCAGGCCCCTGCTGTTCCCAGTTTCCCTGCTTGCAGGGACACACCCCGAGCACATCTCTGCAAGGAGGGAAACCCCAGCACACACTCCTCAGGATTCAGAGGCCTGATCCCCAGGAATTCCCCATGCTGGATCAGGCCCCTGAAGCCTTTGGAGCACCTGCTCAGGACAGCTGGAGAGTGCAGGCAGCTCTGGGTTGCCCATACACTCCCCCCTTAAAATAAACAGATGTCTGCTGCAAAATAGCAGCACAAATTAATACTTTTTGTTGCAGTCCAAGTTTGGGCCTTTGAGGTACAAAGGGCATGGATGTCTGTTTGCTTTCACTTTGTACCATCATAAAAATGTTTATGGAGGGCACAAAGGGGACCAGTGTTTCCAGCCCAAGAAGTCTCCCATAGGTACCTTAAAGCACACTCTTCCTCGCAGCCCAAGGTGCTGCTGGACATTCTGGATGCACCCTGCAGTACAGGGGGAGAAGCAAGAAGACCGCCTAACTCTGTGAGCCACAGAAAGACACTGGATGAGGAAGTGCCAAAGACATTGTCAGGAGCTCTTTGCAGCGAACAGCACTGTAACTACAGCAGCATAAATGCAGCCCAAACTGATGCAGGGCAGGCAGTAGGAATTAGTGGACAAGAACCCCTCTAGACCAGGTCAGCAGCTGGTTGTTATCATATGTGCCAATGAGGTCCAATGTACCAGTCCTGGGCCAGACAGAACTTTTCATCTCTGCAGAGAGCTGGACCTTACACCCCTTGATATCCCTATAGCTCTTTGAACACCATCACCCCAATTTGTAAAAGGACTGATATAACTTCCTTTGAAGGCAGAAATGCCCCCTTGCTCTGCTGGTCCCCAGTCGCTCTCACCCACACTGCAAACGGCAGCTACCTCTCCCCAACAGCCCTGCTCTCTGTAATGCTCAATGGACGTTATTCCCCTGGGCAGTGACTCTACTTTCAGCTGCTGCTCCCAGCGATGTGCATGGTGCGGCCTGTACTGCAGCTAGCCACTTGTCCAGCCCTGAGGCAGCAGAGACGTGACGGTGAATGGGAAGATAGGGGATAGAAACAAACACAGAAACTGCACTGTAAAATCAATCATAAAATAATAATTTCACTGCAATACACCCTGTATCAGACACCATGGCCAAAAGATTTATAGTGCATTGTGCTGATCGTCTCCTGAGCCAGATCATGTCACCTAATTAGCATGCTGCTCTTATCTGCATGCAATCACATTTCACTCTCTTTCTATTTAATGTGTGAAAAACAGTCTGAGGCAGAAAAACATTCTTCGGCATATTTTGCCAGCAAACTTACCCAGGCCACAAGTGTTGGGGAAACAATCACAGAGCCATTCCCATCTGTTGCTCTGCTCATCCCTAAAACAGCAACAACTACTGGGCATTATCTAACCACATACCGGTGCCTAACTGGCCAGCCACTGTCCAAAGTAGCCAAGGTCACACAGAAATCTCCACCCATCCTGCTGCTCTGGAGTTATACTGCAATATGAACACTAGCCAAGCACAGGAGTATGAAGGTGCTGAATGTAGCCATGTAGCCACTGCTACAGGTTCCAGGTCTCAAAAAACTCAGTCCCACCAGTCTGTGTTCAGGAAGATTCACTTGTATGGCACGCAGACACCTACCTGGACAATGCTGAAAAATGCAGATGTCAGCTTCTCATCTTAGCTTCCAAATATCCAGTAGCACTACTGGCATACACCCTCCACCATGCCCTGCAGCCACCTTGCGCTCACTGTTCCAAAGCTTCAGCAACAGAGTTTTTGCTGAGTGGCGTGTGAAAGCTGTTGATAAAAAAAAGACTGGGAAAGAGCATTGCAATCAGAATTTCTCTGGGAAATCACTGGAGAATCCTGATGGATAAAGAAAAGTTGCTCTCTGCTCCCAAGATTTCCCTTCCCAGGAGACATTTTTAAATCTCCCACAAACCAAAATACAAACTGCAACTAAAGCTGTGTGAACAACACTGTGACGCTGGCACTTACACTGGTGCAATTACCAAGAGTTCAGTTTGCTAGCAAAGATGTGACCTGAAAGTCCAAAGCTCAAACACGGTTAAGAAACCTATTTAATATACGTTAGGTTCTCGGCTATACCACAAGTGGCATATGTTGTAACCGGGCCTCCAAAACGGCGCTCGCTACAATGCACAACCCACAAGGGGCAAGAAGATATACAAAAAACTAGAACTCTTGGTTCCAAAATGATACCTTTTATTAGACCAACTGGAAAATGGCAAGAAAACTGTCCCTTTCCATAAGCTTTCGGGATCAAGGTATCATTTTGGAACCAAAAGTTCTAGTGTTTTTGTACATCTTTTTGTCTCAGACCAACACTGTTATCAGGCTCACCCGAGACAAGGGACAAGCACGTTTTGACGCTTGTTCTGCCTAAGAACTCAACTTTTAAGCACAAACCAACTGCAAAATAAGTAGCGACCTGCACCCCGAGGCCGAGACAAAGGAGAGGAAGAACCCTGTATGGACGCGGCTCCGGAAAGAGACACACGTATGTTAGTCCGTGAATCGCCGCGTCCAGCCCGGCAAAGCAATCCTGACTCGATGGAGGGGTGACTCCGCAGTGCATCGAGCCCGGCCACATGCACAAAAACTATCGCTGCGGGAAGCGGGGAAGGCACCGGGACTGGCCAGGCGGGCGCAGCCACCCTCGTGCCTGCCCGTGACGGGCGACAAGCGCGATCAACTGACACGGGCCCCCACGTGCAAAGCAGCGATCGCGGCGCGACCCGCACAACCGCGCGGCGCAGGGGGCAGCCCACGCCGCCCGGCCCCGGCGTCTCCCCTCCCTTCCTCTCCCCGGCCGAAAGTTTGGCGGCGCGGGGGTCCGGGGCCAAGTCTGCGGGAAGTTGTTCCACGGCCCGGAGCGCCCCCGACTCACCGCGCAAGTGGGCGCCGGCCGCCGCCGCTGCTCAGCACCGCGGACGTGGCAGCCCCGCCGGCCGCTTCCTTCCCTTCCCTTCCCTTC